TTTACTTGTACAGGTAACTATAACACATAATTAACTTACTCTGTAGTTCTTCCCGTCCACAAAACCGAAGATATTGTCCAGCAAAGGCTCACGAGCGTGGACCCATGCGGCCATCCTCCGCTGGTGGCCGAGCGAAGGCCAACTGATACGTGCAGGATAAAAACCACGCAGTGCTGCTTCAAGTGCGTGCTCAGCTTTCATCAACGTGCGCTGGAGAGTCGTAGGGGGCACAGCAAAAATCTCACAGATGGTTTTGACACCCATCGATCCCTCGTAGTAGTGAAGCAGTAGACCCAGCACTTGATGGTGCTCCGTCAGTTTAGGTGGTCTCCCACCGTCACGCCTGGGTCTGTGAATGTGGTAAAACCCCGCAAAGCGAGCAAGTAGCTCATTAAAGGCGCTCCTTAGTATCAACAGTCAAAGTGTTAGATGTGGAAGTATCATATAGACAAGTCGGCGTATTCGTACCGTGTGAGAGTAGTAACGTTAAGCAGGTTCTCATCAGTACCGTACTTATACAACAGCGACCACGCAGAGAGGTGCGGCACACCCAGACATGCGGCTGTTAGACGATGGCGGGTCTTGAGCTCGCGCTTCAGTTCGGCGTCAATCAGCAACCCGTTAACGTGACGTCGCAGCTCTCGAAGGCTGTTAGTGTTCTCCAACACAACAGCCACGAGGGCGACTAGCTCGGTTACGTGCATGGATCTCCCGGGGCCGTCGAAGTAGCGGAAGTAGAGGAAGTTGTATGAATAAGTTTTGCGATTCTCCCCTTAATTGCATTCGGTTCGAAGTGTCCCAAATGATAAGTTTCTCAATCTTTTTAACTGGTGATGGGACCTTTCTGCCGAACGCATTAACGCGTATATAAGACAGTTTTGGGGCCGAGTTTCAGAAGATTTCGTGATCAACCGCCTTACGACAGGTATCAAATTCGTCTTACGACGGTCTTATGGCACTAGTCATAAAACACCTATATGTCAGTTTTGGGCGGCGTCCAGTTTTTCAAGATTTTTATGTCAAAGTTTATGCTCTGTCCTATGCCGCCGGTCATACGACACTTGGCTTTTTACGATATGTCAGTTTTGGGCGGCGTCCAGTAGGGTTGCTATACAGCCAGCTGAATACCAGGTGTGAAAGGATATTGGTAGGTAGAAGTGTAGTCACCAGCAGTACAGTATACCTTGGCGGTGATCCTGCATAAACTGAATCCATTCCATTGAGTGACGTACCGAGCTTGGGTGGCATAAGCAATGACTCAGAGTGCCAACAACACTTGCTTTCGAGTCACTTGACATTTTTCTCTTGAACCCCCAAGTACATCGCGATTATGATGGCCCACTCGACAGCATTGTTATGTGCAACTTCGATTCTGCTGGCATGTGCTGAAAGTGCCTCTATGTCTGCCATCTCGAAGACGACTACGTTCAAATACTGGTCGACAAACCTGAAGATATTTCTACTAGTAGATTTTTGAGAGCGACTATGAAGAATGACAAGGAAAGTGACGACAGAGGGATAAGCGAGACGTTTATGAATCTGGCTACGGCTGGGGCGTCGAAAGTCAACTTGTGGTCATGATTTTCGAGAGGAGAATCAGCAGATGAAATTCTAACGAAGCTCAAGCCTGATACTGGATTGAAAAACGCTCTGGCCAGTCCTGACTTGAAGGCATTGGAAAAATACGTGAATGAATTGAACACGAAAACACGGAACAACAAAGTTTCCGTGATTGGCATTTTTACGACGCATTACGGAGACGATGCAGTGGCAAGAGCACTTGTGACTGCGCAAAGACGGATGGTGAGGTAAAAACGATACTCCAAATGCGGGACACTTAGCTATATGCTTGGTTGAACAGCAAGAAGTCCGTGGACGACGCTAAAGCCGCGCGAAGATGGCTACGCAGCTCTAGGCAGTCGGACGATGGAGGTGTTGGACGACTACATGAAGCTGTTTAACCGTACAAATTCTGAACAATAAGCCCTGCTTCATGTCGTAACGAAGGGCTTCGGTGGAGAACGCAAATTGTCGAGACTTCTTGTGCGCGGGGAGGGGGGATCCTCCTACAAGCGCGCTGGCGAAGGCGCTGCAAAACGCACTACTGAATAAATGGATAATGGACAAGTTGCAGTCTGAGGGCGTATTTAAGAAGCTCAGTCTGGGCCACTCAATGAAAGATGTTCCGTCGGATCTAAACTAGCTTACTTTGTCAAGGTTCATTTCTCTATACAACGCGAGAAATCCGGACAGCAAGACCTCGTTGATTAGAGTTCTTTCTGCGCATTATGAGGACAATGTTGTGGTGAAAGCGCTTGTGGTTGGATCGTCGTAGATGAATACATTGGCAGTTGCTGCGCACTTACGGAAAGAGCAACGGCAAGAGTGGCCAAAGAGTCAAAAATCTGTCGACGACATTTTCGAGCTGCTAAAGCTGCGCAATGACCAATATTTGGCTCTTATCAGCCGCAAGTTGGTCGTTTTGGAGGACTATATACACCTCTTCAACC